AATTTTTTTATTTTTTTATTAAAGGGGGAAAATTTCCGAGTTGTTATTATCAGGGGGAAAATTTCAGACTTGATCCAATTCTTTTTATAGAAAATGATAATATATATAACCTCATATGATTCGTATCAGATACCAAAGTTATATCTATCTATTGTTTATTTATAATCTGTACAATCTATTTTTTGATTATCTTATTTTATAAACAAAAAAACTATTAAAAATTAAGTAATTAATATGTTTATATCAATACTGTTTGATTATTTTTCAATATAATCATATACTGCTACTGTAATTATCATCATAATTTATTAAAATATTTATTCTATTGTTCAATTTGATAGAAATAAAAAAATTAACTAATTAACTCTTTAAATTTTTTTAATAATACTTTTTATTAAATAATTATTTGATCATATCATCATTTTTTAATAAAGTTAGTTATTTTTTAATTTATAAACCAATGATTAAAAACTACATATTTATAACATACTTTTTAAATAAATATTTAACGGTTTTAAAAACTGTAAAGTGTTTTTGATCAATTTAAAATGTTAATAAATAATGATTAATCAAGTTTATACTTTTTAATTTTAAAAATAATTAAAGTTTTTTAAAGTTCAAGAGTACTGATATTAAAAATTGTGTTTTAATCACTGATATATTCTTTAAATATACAAACTATAATAATTTTCTTTCTAAATAAATAATTATTAGACATATAAAATAAATATTTAAATTGATAAAATTGTTTTTAATTATCTTATCTCTTTTTCTACATTCATCATTTTTAACTAATAATTACGTATTAAAAAAATGTATTTAATCTTTAATATTATATAAAATTAGTGAAGGTATTAGAATTATTCAATATTCAAACGATTTTTATTAAGATGTGGATTATTTTAATTTAAAATGATTAAAATAAAAACAGAATAACATCATTTGATTTTATTAAATAAATAGTTAAAGAATAAATGATAATAAAGTTAAAGATACTTTTATAAAAAGACTTCTTTTCTTTTTTAATATTTTTTACTTAAGAAGTAGGGAAGTTGAAATAAATAATTTTTGATATATGATCTTGTTATTTTAAACAAACTTAAATGTAAATTAGAATATAATAAACAACAAAGTAAAGAGAATATCATACTATTTAAAAGAAATAAAAGTTTTAATCTCAATGGCAAAAGGTTGGATGATTTTTAAAAAGATATTAAATTTATACAAGAAATATTTACATTTAAAATTAATTTTGTTGTTAAACAATTGACATTTAAAGATAAATTGATCTTAAAGAAATAAATATTTTATTATGTATTTTGTAAGTTTTTATTATTTTATTTAACAATATCAATAAAAAATTTAAATAAACAACAACTTAAGAACCTTTTAATCTATTTGAAAAATATTTTTTGCTAATTTACTTATATTTATACTTTTAATTTTAAAACATTATAATAATATTTTAAATGTAAAAAGAATTTATAAAAATATATCTATTAAAACCGATATAAAAATTTTAAGCTGTCACTAAACATACTTTTTATAAAAACATTCTAAAAAAATCATTTTTATTCATTTAATAGTTAAAAAATGATTCAATAAAATTTTTTACAGACTTTAAAATGATTATTGAATGATTATAAAAGTAGCTAAAGTTATATATTCCAATTATATTTTTACTATTTTTATCAAGCAGTAAATTTTTTTCAGATTTTTCAATATCTTCCTTTGATTTAATTATTTCATCACTGGAATTGTTTGAATCTTCCACATTGGAATTGTTTTTATCTATAAATGAAGATTCTGATAGATAAAGCAATTGACACTCATTAGTTGAACTGCTACTTAGTTTTATGGATGAAAGAGATGTATTAGTATCGAATTCATCAATTAAAAAATAAGATTTGTCACTAGAATTTAAATCAGTTTTTTTATCATATTCACAATTAGTATCTTTAATTATCCTTGGATTAGAATTTATGAACATTGGATTTTGTGTTACGGATAAAACTAAATCAATTGATAATAAAAACATCATTTAAGGGCAAAAAGAAAAATTTTACTTATAAGTAAATTAAATTAAAACATTTACTTTTTAATATAAAAAGAAATAACAAATATTTTTTTTTAAAGAATTATTAAATTTTTAATAAATATTTCAATTATGATGACTTTTAAAAACAAACATTTCAATTTATAATAACATTTAAATGAAAAGTTAATTAACACTTAAATAAAAACTAATTTACAAATATAAATCAAATAATTTAATTAAAATATTTTTCTCCATAGAAATTTATAAGATCTTCTCTTTTAATATCAAATTCATTAATTAATAATTCAGTGCATTCTTCTATCTTTTCTTTATATAATTCTATCAATCTATCTAACTCATCAATACTTAAATTCTTATTTAAAATATTCAACTTTTTATTATCATTACGTTCATTATTTAAATTCATTAAATCTTCTTAATTAAATTTTAATAAAAAATGAATAGAGTGAATGTAGAAAAAATATTAAGAAAGGTTGAAACAGAAAGTTGTGTTCTAAACAATATTAAGAGAGTTGTAGTATTTAAAGCTAAAAATGCCTATTCCCTACTTAAAAAGTCTGGGTTTAATGAGGATGAAATTAAAAAAGGATTAGAGTGTTTACTTGATGAGGGTATCATCTTTAAAGTTTCAGTAGATGATAAGAATGCAAAGATAGTGTTAAGTAAAGATGTTACTATTGAAGATGAATATATTTGGGAAAAAGAGAATTATTCAATTGTTTATTTAATACTGACTTTAATAAGTTTAGTGTGTGTATCTTTAATGATATTTACAATTTACTTTCCTAATTGGTACAAATATACACTTTATTATATGAAGTATCCTTTGTTAGGATTTTTAGGGTTTTTATTAGTAGCAGGTGTTGTGAGATGGATTGTATTTTTAATTACACTTGTTTTATATGAATCACAGCTTTGGATTTGGCCAAATCTTTTCGCTGACTGTGGATTTATAGAAAGTTTTATTCCTCTCTATGAGTGGGTAGGACCGGAAACTAAGAATGAATAAATTCATTTATTAACTGTTATTCAGTAATAACTAATACAATCAGAGAACATGATGGGCATTTAGCCACATTTTCTCCCTCTTCTAATTCTTCTAGTGAAATTTGAAAAAAATCACCACACGGACATAAATACTTATAAATTTGTTTTTCTTTGTCAAAATGAAACTTTGATAGTCTTACTTCCTCATAAAAACTTATAAATTCTTCATCAAAATACACATCATAATCTATTATGTTTTCCATTTTTTCTATAAATTTTTATAAAAAAATTTATAGTGCAGAAGGGATTCGAACCCCTGCTCTCTTTCGAGAAACTGATCTTGAGTCAGTCGCCTTAGACCACTCGGCCACTACACCTCAATTTTATTTAAAAAACAAATACAAATATGTTTATATTTAAAATAATTATACAAACAAACATTAATAGAAAATTTATTAATACTCTGACATGTTTGATAATTCAACTGCATTATCATCATTGTATGTTTTTGGTATAAAATTTTCATTACCATAATTTATGTTTTTGATAGATTGAGCGGATTTATCAATGGAGGAATTTTTTATTACTTCATCATTATTAGAAGGTTGTAAATACAGTTTTTGAACATTGTTACGATGATCGGTAGATGATTGTTGATCTGAAAGATTCTTAAAGAATTCTAAAGAATCTTTAAATGAAAATGTTCTATTAGTCATATCAGGTTTAATTTGTTTTTCAGTTGAATTGTGAAATATGGTTGTGGTGTGATTGTAATCTGTCTTGGTATCTGAATATTCAACATCAATAGATTTAGTATTAAGTGACATTATCAAAGTTTTAAACACTACGAGAGCTTTATCAAATGGCAAATGATTATTATCATTCTTACACATTTCAAGTAATTCTTTAGAATAATCAATTAAATCACTTCTTGTAATTTCTTTTGTGTTATTATTTAGTAGAATAATTAATTTAAAAAAAACTTTGTTAACATCATTTTTATCATCTTTAAATTCTTTGTAATATTCTTTAATCACATCTTTGAATTTTTCATCATTTTTAATTGAATCTTCACTTAATTGACTATCATCACTCAAATCATTAATGAAATTATCAAGTAATAATTTTAATTTGTTTCTATTTAATAAATCTTCCTCTAAAGTAAGTGAACTATCAATTGAATTATCTTCTTCATTCTCAAAAATTACTTTTTCACTTTCTTCTGATTTATTCGAATTAGAAACTACTGGAATAGTTTCAGACTTCAATTTAAAGTTATTAGTAACTTTACTAGTATGTTTTTCTTGTTTGTTATCATTATCATTATTTATATCCTCACAACAAAAAAATCTTTTAAGATAATCAATAAATGTTGTCATTATACCCCTCTTTATGTTAATTTATTTTTATGATAAAAAAATGTAACCAATCAGGAAATCACTAAAATAAAAAAATATCATTAAATTGTATTTAAAAATGATTTAGTAACTTTATAATAAAAAATAATTATTATTAGAAAATATTTTTAATTAAAATTTTAATCCTTAAAAAATGATTAAAAGATCTCAATTAAGAAAATCAGCACTATCATACTTTAACAATATAGGTCATTATATATCACCAACATTAGTAACAGTTTTGTCTAGAGATAGTTATATCTACTTCAATAACCCACAGTCAATATTAACTTTTCTTAAACACTACTGTAAGTCATTTGAAGATGAGTATTTAGGTGATATACTCATTCTAACAACTAATAACAACTATAAATATAATTTGACTGAGTTTAATAATTATGTTAAGATACACAGTTCACTAAAGGAAATAACAAGTTTAAACATAAGTACAGTTATAATAGATACTAACACAATTAACATAACTTCAATTAATGATTGTTATAATAATTTAACAAACAATCATAATAACATACCAATTAAGATACTACTAACTATTAATCCAATTGAGTTTTATAATTATCACTTAAACAACCAAGAAGAACCAATAATTCACTATTTTACTAATAAAGTAAAAACTGATTTTATTTCCAATTATAGATTAATTAAAGAATTATCTGAATTTCATTTTTATGAATTAGAAGATGTTTGTAAATACGATCTCAACACCGACTTAATTGATATTTATAACAAGGGGTTGTATGATTATCATTATGTTAATACTTTAATCAAATTACCAATATCACATATTTCTAACAAGTTGAAAGTACTTTATAATTATTTAGAAGTAAATTCAGATAAGAAAATGTTAATTTGTATTGATAAAGATTCTGAGTTGTTTATTAAAATAATACTAAATAGATTTATAGGTGAGAGTAACATAATTAATAACGATGATAATATAATTAATATTGATGGAAAATTTAAAGGATTAAAAAACACTTTTCAAGTCAACCTGTCATTAACTCAATTTTATCCAAATAATAATAAAATTATAATAAATGATCAGATAATACAATTTGAGTTTACAGCTGTCTGTGATGTGAATAAATACCAAATTATAGTACCTGTTGATGATAGAGAGTTAATAGAAGATATAGTAGAGAAAGACGATTTAATAGAGAAAGAAGTTAAACCTTGTATTAATAAGAGAAGTAACATGATTTATAAATTTAAAGTGAACATTAATAACATGAATGAGTTTAACAAGAAAGCAATAAAAATTTTTATAGATGAAAATAAACAGTTAATAAGTAAAACAGAGTATAAAATTGATTGTGTGGTAATTAATGCGGAGTGTCCTAGTAGTGTTTGTAATATGGCATCATTGATAAGTGAAACAATTAATTTACCCGTTTGTATACCTTATATGATTAGTTACTCAATAAGTAGTTATAAAAGTACCAATATAGAAATAGGTGATTTAGTTAGCTTTAATTCATTTTCTCATTTTAAAGAAAGTAAATCAGATAATGATTTAATAGATAAGAGAAGAAAGATTGATAATGAAAATTTAATAACATTTCATTTAAAAAGTATAATTTATTATTATGAAAAGTATAAAATAATAATTAACAGTGAAGATATAGAATTAATATTGATTAATATTATAAGTGATTCATTGAAAATATACTTTGGATTAAGATATAAGCCTAAAGTATTCCAGACTGATTCTATCTTATACTTTGAAGAAAATTATTTAAATAGAATTATTTGGACTAGATGTTCTAATAATGAGTATAAAGAGTTTAATGATAATAATGATATTTGTATTACTATACCCTTGTTACTAAATGGTAATAGTGTTATTCATTATAACCAGGGATATTTAATTAATATTATTAGTATACTGTATAGATTTAATATTAACATTTATTATAATACTGTGAATAATATTGATAGTTTTTGTAGTAGAGAATTAGATGATTTTTTAACTTTTATTGAGAAAAATTATACTTTTGATGAATATTATAATATGAAGTGTTTAATTAGTAGGAAGAGAAGGTATATGCATGGATTATTTGATAAGAATGTATTTGAGTTTATAAAGGAGGAGAGAAAAGGTAATCCGGATTTTATTAAAAACCTCTGTAAAATATTAGATTCTAATTTAAAGAAACGTTTTGAATCAGCTAATGTTTATAATTTAATAAAAAGTGTAACATACAATAAGAAAAAGTTCCACAATCTAAGTAGGAGTATGAGTATATCACCATTAAATATAGTTTATAATTATGAACAATCAATAGAAACTAATAGAATATTAAGATATTTCGACAATGATAAGTTCATAAGAGTTTCGTTTAGAGATGATAATTTAACTTCCAAATATAAAAATGATGATACTATTAATAATGATTGTGTATATGATTATTTTAGATCAATAATGTTAAATGGTATCTTTATTGGTAATAGAAAATATTTCTTTTTAATAATGACTAACTCACAGATGCACGAACATACAGCTTGGTTTGTAAGCACATATTATGATTATAAACTAGATAGATTGGTAGGAGCTGACTATATTAAGGACTGGTTAGGAGAATTTAAAAACATAAAAGTGATAGGTAAATATGCAGTAAGAATAGCTCAATCTTTTTCAAGTACAACACCAACAATAGATGTAGAAAAATACATAACAATTCCTGATATTGAAAAGAATGGTTATTGTTATACAGATGGAATTGGGTTATGTAATGGTAAAATAATGTATGAAGTAAAAAATAAGCTTAAATTGAATTATTTACCAAGTGCCTTACAAATTAGATTTGCAGGCTGTAAAGGTGTAATTGTATATCATCCTTTCTTAGATGATATTAATGAAAATAATAAAGAATTAAAAGATTGGTTAATAAGAAATGATTTGAAATTTAATAACTTAATTTTTAATAGTAAATTAAATCCAAATGAATTAGTTAGTGATAAACTTATAAATGATGAGAGTAAAAATTTTATTGATTTAATAGTTAGATCAAGTATGAATAAGTTTAATTCAAGTCATAGAAATTTGGAGGTTTGTAGACCAGCTAAATCTAATGAGTTTTTCCTAAATAGACAAATAATTATGATACTTGAGGGATTAGGAATACCTAAAGAAGTATTTATAAAATTACAAGATATTTACATTTTAGATGTTATTAAGGAAGTTACTGAAGATCCTAATTCATTTATTGCTAAACACTCGCCTTATTTTAAGAAAAATTCTATTTCTTTAGAATTTTCCTTTTTTAGAAAGTTATTAGTGCCAATTATAAATAATATATTTGATGATCTAAATAAGAAAAGCAGGATCAAAGTAAGTGAAGGTAGATCAGCTATTGGAGTAACTGATGAATTAGCTATTTTAGAAGAAGATGAGATGTTTTTAATGTATAAGGATGATTTTAAGTATGTAGTTGCAGAGGGTATTGCTATATTAGCTAAAAATCCATGTGTTCATCCGGGTGATATAAGAGTAGTTAAATGTGTTGATAGAAAGGAATTATATTATCTAAAAGAGGTTGTTGTGTTTTCACAGAAGGGGGACAGACCTTTATTTAATCAGGCTTCAGGATCAGATTTGGATGGTGATATTTATTCTGTTTCTTGGAATAAGGATTTAATACCAAATCATATTTTTAAGCCTTATGATTATTCATCAAAAGCTGCTGTATTAACAAAAGAAACTGTTTTGTTTTCTGATATAGTTAATTTCTTTATTAGGTATATGAGATATTATCAATTGGGATCAATAGCTAACAGTCATTTGAGCATGGCTGATCAAACTTCTATATTTTCAGAAGATACACTTAAATTAGCAGAACTATTTAATAAGTCAATAGATTTTATTAAGACAGGTTCATCAGCTACTGTACCAGAGGATCTTTTACCAAAAGAATATCCTGATTTTATGGAAAAACCACCACAATATTTATCTGATAAGGCAATTGGATATCTTTATAGAAGAAGTAGATTTTACATCAAATCTAACTCTTTTTGTGAGTGTATTAATTGTTTTAATTATATTTTGAAAGATTTAGATATTTATAAGAAAATTTTACTTAAAGGTGCTAATATTGTAATAAAAACTATAAGACCACTAAAGAAAAGAAGTGAAGAAATAGAATTTATTAAGAGTAGTTATAAACATGATATTAAGTCTTTAATGAGTAGGAACAATCTATGGAGTGAAGAAGATTTATTTGTAAATAACGAAGAGGGGGTGGGTAAAGAATTAAGAAATATTTTGTTTAAATATAGAAAGTTATTAAAAAACGTAAATGGGAGTGATTTATTGAATAATTCATGTAAAGACAGAATTGAATCAATGCCATTTATTTTCGATTGTCAAAATGATTTATTTAACTGTTTTGAACAAAAACTATTAAATAATAGCAATTTTCAGTTAATAGATAATAATAGTGAATTAGATCAAATAATGAACACGGAAGATAATAATAATTCTTTAATACTTAATAACACTATTAACACATGCCCATTTAATAACAACTTGTATATTGAAAATTTAGTAGATGATTCAGATGTTGATTTATCTTCAATGGTTAAAATAGTAAATAATAATCAGATAGTGATAAAAGCTAATTATTCTAAGATAATTAATTTATTAGACAGATTGGATGGGAATAGATTTAGTGTGTTTAAAGAATTGTTTAATTTGTTATTACTTTCTGATGTTTATAGGGTTAGTGAGATTGATAGAATAATTAACTTATTGGAGTATATCAATAATAACATCATAGATCATTCTAATTTGTATGTAGAAGTAGCTAAAATATGTTTTGGTTTAGGAGATGATAGATTGTTTAAAATTGGATTTGTGTTAAGCTTAGATTATTCTCTTTTCAGAAAGTTAAACTTTTTATATAACAAGGAATCATTAGATGTTTCTAAATATGGAAAATCTAAAAGATTTTATAGAAATGATATTATGGTTGTTAATGGTATGTTAGATGAGAATGATGATATAAAATTTATTAAGTTGGATGATAATGCATATCATATCCAACTAAATAATAAAGGATATTGTGAAAAGTCTTATTATAAGGATGATGTTAGAAATGCTTTAATTAACATACTTTATTCACTGGAAGATAATAGTAGAACTTTAATTGAATTATATTTAAAAGGAGGGGTGTTTAAAGTTAAACATATTGATACTAAACTTGAAAATAGTAAAGTTACTATAAGATACTTATTAAATAATTACTTAACGGTTGATGAAAAATATTATGAATTTGTTAATATAAAAACCAACAAAATCTTAAACTTTTATGAAGAAAAAATTGTTCATATTAGTTTCTTCTTTGAAGGTAGTAATTATTTATTAGAATATTCATTTGAGGATGGTAAAATAGTTTTAGAGTATCTTTATAAGAATGTTAAGAGAATTGGTAAAGTTTGTATTGTTAATAACAATAATGGATTTGATAGAGATTATCTAATTGAGATGTATAGTAAAGTGTTGTTATGTAACGGGGATAGTAATTGGTGTACTAAGGATGAGTTGTTTATAATTAAGAGTGGGTTTTTTGATTATGAGAATATGAAAGTTAACACTGATAAATACTTACTTAATTTGGAAATTAAAGAAAAAATTATTAAAAGGAGTAATGATGATTACTATGAGTCAAATGGAAATTATTATGGAATGAGAAATTGGATGGGGTTAAAGCATTCATTATTTGATGAAAATTTTAATATATTATGGACAAAATATGAGAATAATGAAATATAAAATAACTTCTTTTTATTTAAATTTTTCAATTAAACATTTTTTTTGCTTTTAATTTTTAAAAATTACTGTTCTTTTGTTTGCTTAGTTAATTTTTAATTTTATAAAAATTTATTTCTAAACTTAAGTATTGATAATAAAATTTTAACTTGATATTCAAGTATTTTTAGTTTGAAATAAACTTATAATTTTTATATAAAAAGATTTTACCATCTAAAACTGGTAATTAATAATTCAATCTTATTATCATTTGAAAATAATGTTTTAATCACTAATTTATAAATAAATTGATTATATTCAATATTTCATTTTAATTATTATAAATAATTGTTTTGTATCGACTTTTTATTGGTTAAATATACTTTTTGGTATATTTATGATTTTTTAAAATTATACTTTTAACAAAAAATTACTATTTTTATTAAGATTATCAGAATTTTAAATCATAATAAAAAATTTTTATTAAATTTTAATTTATAAAAGTGTTTTCTAAGACTATTAAACAAATCATAACTTTTACACTAATATGTTAAAAATTTTTTTTTTCATTTTTTCAACTTAGTAGAAAAAAGATTTGTTTTACCTTATTCACTAAAATTTCCTTATTAAACAATCAAAAGTTTTCCAAAATAAATATTGTAATATTTAAATCTTTAAGTTAAATGTCTTTTAGTTAAAAATGTTAAAAAGGTTTGTACATTCATTTTTTTTAAATTACACACTATTAATTTTAACATATTAATTTTTTTTTGTAAATTCAATAGCAAGTTTTATACCTCT